AGCCCAAAGATCTGCGCAGTGCAGGGGCACTGGCAGATGAGTTTGTGGACAGCAGATCGGGTGCAGGAGGGAGACCCGCATCAGGGACTCAGAAGGGGAGTCACCCCGAGACCCCTCCAAGGTGGGAATTGAGAGACCTGAAATATAATTACTGTGGCCAAAAGGGCCAAATGTGGCCCAGTGCCTGAAGATGAAGGAAGTGGCGGCCAAGCAGAACCCGTGGGGTGTCAACTGGGTGGAAGCCCACCGAGAGGGGGCACCACCGGTCTGGGGATGCAGCCGAGAGGGCTGTGCCAGGGGGAGGGGGAGTGCCAATGTTATAGCCGGTGCTATACCACGGGAGGGGGGGGGGCCTGTACTTCCCCAGGTCACTGGCTAAGTGACCCTGCTCCATTCAGCCTTGAAGGGGGGAGAGATGTGACGAAGTGGTGGATTTTCTTATCTTTTCATGGTTTTCCAATGGTTTGCATGCGGAAGGGGTGGGACTCAGTTTCCTTGGGTATTACTGGTTTAACGAGGGGAGGGGAGAGGGAGTTTGTTGTTGCAGAGGACCGGAGAGGGAACTTGGGACCCCAGCCGATGGCCTGGAGGATGGACACCCCAGCAACTGGTGACCTGACGACCCGGAGACCCAGCTCAGGAGTTGCAGCCGGTTCTGGCCAGTGGGAGGACCATGGGCTGCGAAGAGAGGACCCCATGGCCTAATCAGCCGGTTCCAGCCAGAGGAGGGCGGAGAGGCGAGGAGGCCCAGGGGACCCTGTTTACCTGGAGAGAAGACAATGGACAGAGGCCGGGCCTGGGGCCGGGAATCTCAGATGCCCAGCTGGGAAGCAGGGGGGCTCGGGGCTGGAGAGAGGGAGCAGGCAGAGCCCACCTGGATGCAGGGGAGACTGGGATGTGCTGGGCTGAGGGAGGCCAGGCCTGAGGCCCTGAGAGTTTCCTGTGCTGTGTCCAATGCTCAATAAACCCTCCTGTTTTAAGCTGGCTGAGAGTCACTCCGGTCTAGAGAACAGGATTGCATTGTCCCCTTTGGGGGTGGAGGCCCCGGGGGGGTCCAGAGCGAGTGGACTCCCTGCAGGGGCCTATGGCAGAGACAGACGTGCTAAGGCTCAGAGAGGTGCAGCTCCAGGAGGTGGAGGGGCCTGACCCCGAGAGAGAGTGGACCCCCGAGAACGGCTGTCGCACTGAAAGGGGCACCCCCCACGGACCGCACGGGGCCAAGAGTGGGCACGATCTGTGAGTCCGTGACATTAGTTCATTCACGTGATCAGGCAGAAGGCGACTTCTTTCAGAACACAAAATGCTATTAAATGACAAAAATATTCTCAGCTGTGGCTGTTGTGACTGGGAATAGCAAGAGAGAAATTCCCACTTCTTTCATCCCAGGAGACATAGCATAAAGATTGGGCCAAACCACTAGTGATGATAAAGAAGAAATTGAAGTCAAATCTTCATTCATTCATTGTATGACGTTCCACTCTGTTCAAATTCACTATTCTGTCCTGATCATACATGGCAGCCTGTGACACTCTGTACTTCAGGGGAACACCCTGCACCCCCATGTTCATCCTTATACTACGGTTGTGTGGTATCCAATGGAAAGTTTGTCATGCCGGGTGTCTTCGGAAGGCTCATGATGCACTGAGCATGGTTGTTATAATAATGTTTCAGTTATCGTTGTTATAGTAATGTTATGTTATAGTTTGTAATTTCATGTATATAGTTATGAGGCAGAAAATGTGTCCTCATGGCTTAAAACAAAACCAGCCATAACTCTCCAGGAACAGAGGGGCAGTTCACACCTCATCAGGGCATATATGGGACAAACCCAGCCCAGCCTCACAGGAACAAAGGACACTGGCCTAGGCAGCAGCAAAGGATCTATTGGACTCTCGAGTGAGTCACCCCCCCTTCCCTTAGCCAGTTTGGGACTGCGATGAGGTAATGCTCACCTGACCCTGAAGGGGGGACGGGGCAAAACCAAGAGGGAAGAAAGAACATGATAAACGGGAGAGATGTTTGCCAGGCTCTTCCTCTCTCTTCCACCTCCATCTACAGACATCATCACCAAGCGACTGAAGCGCTGATCAAAGGGGAGAGCCCGGCTTAAGGGCAACCAGCCAGTCTGTGGTGAGAAGCATCTAAGTTTATAAGGGCATTGGAAGTGTTAAGATCAGCTTAGAATATGTTTTGCTTTTATTTCATTTGACCAAACCTGACTTCTTGTGCTTTGACTTATAATCACTTACAATCTATCTTTGTAGTTAATAAATCTGTTTGTTTATTCCACCTGAAGCAGCGTGTTTGGTTTGAAGCGTGTCAGAGACTCCCCTTGGGATAACAAGCCTGGTACATATCAATTTCTTTGTTAAATTGACGAACTCATATAAACTTGCAGTGCCCAGTAGGCATAACTGGACACTGCAAGACGGAGGTTCCTAGGGTTGTGTCTAGGACCGGAGATATTGGCCAGTGTCATTTGGTTGCACAATCCAAGGAGCAGTTACATGCCAGAGGCTGTGCGTGACCAGCCCAGGGGTGGGGGTTCTCACAGCAGTGCAGGGTAAGGCTGGCTCCCAGAGTCAAGGATTGGAGTGACCTAGCAGATCACCAGTCCAGATAACACCAGGGGAAAGTCACACTGCCCTAGACCCCCCCCGCAACTAACTCCAACCTGCCTGGCCTGGGGCTCTCCTGGCCCTGTTGCCCCCACACACACACCCCAGGGCCCCCCCATCCCATCAACTCCAGCACTGACCTACAATCATCCCAGTTGTGACCTCGTATGACCCCTTGACTCCACATTGACTTCACCATGTGACCTCTTGCCCCCCGTCCTGACCCCTCTTGCCCCCCCCCCACATTGATGCCCTGATCAGTGGGGCCTAGTTGTGAGTTTCTGTTCTGTGGAGGGATCTCTGAGTGGGGGGATGGTCTCTGGGCGCTGGGCATAGGGAGTTGGGGGGGCGCTGGGCAGGGGGTCAGTGTGGTGCATGGCATGAGCCTCTCTCTGAGGGGTAGGGGCAGGCTGGCAGCGCAGGGCTGGGTGGACCAGTGCGTGTCTGGCACAGTGGTTCTCAACCTGCGTCCCACCATGGTACGTAGGTTGAGAACCACGGCTTCAGAGCGTCCGTTATCTAAAAACTCTGCTCACATGTACAAAATGTTCTTTTGACCCCAAAGGGCAAACCACGTTGCCAGGTCAATAGTAGTTTGGATCTTACCCAAAATACCTACCTGCCAGCCAGTCCTTTAGTGTCTAAAACTAACGGTTTGTTAGAAAAGAGAGACCAGGAAGAGCGATGTGAAATGGTAAAGCCCTCAGAGACCTACAGCGATTTCCAAGTCCATAGATCAGGTTGTTAGCAGCGCTGGTGAGGTTGCTGGCTAGAAAGTCCCTCTGGAGTCACCCACAGCTGGGATGGGTCAGTCAGTCCTGGCTCAGAGGAAAGTGACTCCAGAGGTGGGAAGCAGGATTGGAGACAACATAGAGAAGCTGCAGCTACATTTTTCTTTCCTTTGCATTGCGGCTCGTACATCCTCGTCCCAAACACGAGCTCGCAGCACATGGGCATGGAGACGCCTCGCAGCCCCTGTCCACAGGCCTGTCCCTACATGTGCTGCTGGCTCCTAGGTGCATCCCTTGGCCTCTCTCCATGGGTCCATGGTACAGCTGACAACCCTTGATGGGCCATCGAGCAGGCTAGGCCGTGCTGCTGCCAATCTGTCCAGAGGTGTCACCCAGACACACAGCACAGGTTTGAGACACAGATCTATCACACACATTCATAACTCATGATACAAAGATGATACAAACAAGATTATCATACTTGGCAAATCATAACATCTTCACTGATACCTTGCATGGCATCTCTGGTCAGATTCCTTGCAATGATAGAATATTGGTACTAATAATAGGCTAAAGTCATAGGCGCCAACTTTTCCCAGCGTTGGTGAGTGCTCGCACCTCCCCCAGCCCTGGCCCCGACTCCACCCCTGCTCCACCCCCATTCCAACCCCTTCCCCAAAGTCCCCACCCCAACTCTGCCCCCTCCCTGCCCCTATTGGACTCCTTCCCCAAATCCCTGCCCCAGACCCTCCTCCCGCCTCCCTCCCATCACTTGCAGCTGCAAAACAGCTGTTTCGCAGCAGGAAGTGCTGGGAGCTACGGGGAAAATGTGGCACGTGGCGCGCTCAGAGGAGGAGGCAGAGCAGAGGTGGAGGTGAGCTGGGGCAGGGAGCTGCTGGTGGATGCAGAGCACCCACCAATTTTTCCCCGTGACGGAGTTGGCGCCTATGGATAAAGTGTCTCCCATATTCCATACAGCGGCCCAGCTTGTTTAATGATTTCTTAGCGCCATACAAGAGAACAGCGATGACGAGCCAGCAGAACTCACTGCTACAGGATGTCGCAGCAACCAAGAGGGTCAGAAAACCCGTGAAGGTTTATAGGAATATTGGGAACGTCCCAAGATCTCTTAGGAGCAAAATGGCCTAAGGGCCTGAGAGCTTCATGCTTCAGGGCTCTAAACCTAAGTTCCCTGCAAGCTGCTATCAAGGGCCACAAAGGCGGGGAGAGGCACCTCTCACCTGGCCCGAGCTGCTGCATCAAGAGAGGGCTGGAGGGAGACCTCTCTCCCCGCCGCAGCCCTGGGGCAGCCTGCACCCCAAACCCCTCATCCCCGCCTCCCCGAGAGCCCTCACCCTCCCACACACCCCAACCCTCTGCCCCAGCCCTGAGCCCCCTCCCACACCCTGAACCCCTCATCCCTGGCCCCACTCCAGATCCTGCATCCCCAGCCAGAGCCCTCAACCCCACACCTCAATCCTCTGCCCCAGCCCTGAACCCCTCATCCCAAACCCCACCTGAGCCCGCATCCCCAGCCAGAGCCCTCACCACCCGGCACCCCAAACCTCTGCCCCAGCCCTGAGCCTCCTCCCACACTCCGAACCCCTCGGCCCCACCCCCGCCACACACCACCTCCATACTGGTGCACATAACAAAATTCATTCCGCACATGGACGTAAAAAAATTCGAGGGAACACTGCTCTGACCCCACCTCTACCTATTGGAGGTCAGGAGGAAATGTCGAACAAGGGCGAGTTAGTCCATTAGGGTCCTTGGGGGTGTTGCTGAAGTAGCTGGTGATGACAAGTGACTGAGCTGGAGGGACCCACCCCAGCCTGCAGACAAGACGGGAAGCCCCCGGGAGGGGCAGAGCTAAATAAGACGAGTGATGGCCATCAGACGAGGTACCCTGGGATGCCACGGAGCCGGCACCTCACAGGATCTTGAGGGGCTCGGTGTTTCCCCCATTGTCGTGCCAGCAGGGCTCGAAGATGGGGTAGACGGGCTTGTCGAAGGACGTGTGGAAAGTGTAGATGTGGGTCAGTGTGTTGGGGTGATCGGCGTTGTAGAAGGAGACCTCCCCATCATCCCAGTCCAGGTAGACCCCAATCTTCTCAGGTTGGGGACAGATATCCAGGGGCCATGGGTTGGTGTCAAATATCCAGTACTTCTTCCCGGCCTTCTGCTGGTCATAGCCGATCATCCAGTAGCCGGCGGTGCAGACCTTGCTAGGAGGCAATGGCCAAAACTCCACGTTGAACAACGGCCCCTGCCTCTTGGCTCGCTCCGAGACCACCCCCAGGTTCCAGCGCCGCTTCTGGCCCACGAACACCTCCCAGTAGTGCCGCCCCGCGCTGAAGCTCTGCTTGGCCACCACGCAATTCGCCGTGTCAAATCTCTTATGGCTGGAGTCAACAGACCTTTCTTCACTAACACATGTCACCTCCTTCTCGTCCTTCGAGATCACCAGGTTGCGATGAGCCGTGTCTGGGTCCAGAGATAAAACTTCCTTCCCTGGAAAATACAAAGGGATGGAGAGCCAAGACTCCTGGGTTCTCTCCCCAGCTCTGGGAGGGGAGTAGGGTCTAGTGGGTTAGATCGGGGGGGGCTGGGAGCCAGGACTCCTGGGTTCTAGTCACAGATTCCAAGGCCAGAAGGGGAGACTGTGATCACCTAGTCTGATCTCCTGTGTAGCACTGGCCACAGAACTGCCCTGGAACATAATAATTCCTAGGGCAGATCTTTTAGGAAAACCCTCCAATCTTGATTGAAAAAGTTGTCCTTGATGGAGAACCTACCACAGCCCTTGGTAAGTTGTTCCAATGGTTAGTTCCCCTCAGTGCTATAACTTTGTGTCTTATTCCCAGTCTGAATTTGTCTAGTTCCAACTTCCAGCCATTGCGTCATGCTAGACCTTCCTCTGCTAGACTAAAGAGTCCGTTATTAAATATTTGTTCCCCACGTAGGTACCTATAGACTGGGATCAAGTCACCCCTGAACCTTCTCTTTGTTAAGCTAAGCAGATGGAGCTCCTGGGTCTCTCACTCTAAGGCAGGTTTCTAACCCTTTCACCGTTCCCGTGGCTCTTCTCCGACCCCACTAATTTATCAACCTCCTGCTTGAACTGTGGGCACCAGAACTGGACACGGGATCCCAGTAGTGGTCGCACCAGTGCCCAACACAGAGGGAAAATCACTTCTCTGCTCCTACTGGAGATTTCTGTTTATCCATCCCAGGCTGGCATTAGCTGTTCTGGCCCCAGCGTCACATGGGGAGCTCCTGGTCAGCTCTGGCTCTGGTGTAGAAGGTGGGGGGGGGGAGGGAGTTTCGGAGAATCACAGAACTGTAGGGCTGGGAGGGGCGCTGTTTATTCCAATCCCAGCTTCTTTGAGCTGTGTCCCAATCACATCTCATGCTGAGCAGGGTCCAGCTAGGTTACTATGTAGGCAGACCTCCAAGGAAAACATAGGGTGCTGCAGGGAGCGGGATAGGGCTGTGGTAGGGGGTGCTCTCCCCTGGCAGCCAGGGCCGTCCCGATGCCCCAGTGCGGCACTAGGGGGCGCTGTGCTTCAGGAAGCGGCATGGGATCAGCAGGGGGCGCTCTCCCCTGGCAGCCAGGCCTGCCCTGATGCCCCAGTGCGGTGCTAGGGGGCGCTGTGCTGCAGGGAGCGGCATGGGATCAGTAGGGGGCGCTCTCCCCTGGTGGTCAGGGCTGGCCCCGATGCCCCAGTGTGGCACTAGGGGGCACTGTGCTGCAGGGAGCAACATTTCTGCATAAGGCTAAGATTTTGTCATGTATGTTTTTAGTAAAAGTCATGGACCGGTCGTGGGAAATAAACAATCAATCACAGAAGCCCGCATAGGTGCTGACTTCCAATGGCGCCGGTAGGTGCTTAACTCACCTCTGGCCCGACTCCACCCCTGTCTCACCCCCTCCTGCCCCCATTCCAACCCCTTCTCCAAAGTCCCCACCCCAACTCCGCCCCTTCCCTGTCCCTATTCGACTCCTTCCCCAAATCCCCGCCCTGGCCCCACCTCCTCCCCTGACCGCGCCACGTTCCCGCTCCTCCCCGCTCCTTCCCAGAGCTTGCTACAGCTGTTAGGTAGCAGCAAGCGCTGGGAGGGAGGGAGGAGCGGGGACGCGGGGCGCTGGGAGGAGGCAGAGAAGGACGTGAGGTGGGGTGGATGGGGGGTGGGGAGGGGAGCTTGGCTGCCGGTGGGTGCAGAGCACCCACTAATTTTCCCCTGTGGGTGCTCCAGCCCTAGGACACCCACGGAGTCAGCACCTATGGAAGCCCGAGCCCAGCTGCCTGGGGCTGGTCACAGAGGTCACGTAAAATCATGAAATCTGCGATTTCCCAGTAGCTTTATCTCTGCACCTCAGTGATGCCATAAATGATTTTTTTTTTGCAACTGTCTCCCCCCTCTCCCTCTCCCCTCCCACCCTACCCCCCCCGGCTTCCCCACTGATCCACTGTGGGGCAAGCATTTACATGGGTGTTTCAGAGGCAGTGGGGAAGGGCTGCCGGCCTGGCTCACCGGGTGTGATCTGCAAAGGTCTGGCTTACTAGGGAAACTGCTTCGGTGGAGATTTTTCCACATTCTGTTTTCAGCCTTCTTGGGGAGCGGAGGCCAGGACGCAGTGGAGGCGGCTATCTCAGCTGAACAAGTGCTGTGGGGGAAGGTCTGGGGCTTTCCTGAAGGATAAATCACAGACAGATTAAAAAGTGGGAAGAGGGAACTAAAGACGGTTAAGTGACAAAGAGACTAGCCCACCAGACCCCACTCCCCTCCCAGAGCTGGGGAGAGAACCCAGGAGTCCTGGCTCCCAGCCCCCCCTGCTCTAACCACTAGCCCCCACTCCTCTCCCAGAGCTGTGATAGAGCCCAGGAGTCCTGGTGCCCAGCCCCCTACGCCTTCCCATCCATGAGGCCCCCCCTTCCTCCCTCCCTACCAGAGCCGGGGACAGACTGGCGCCCGGACCCCTGGGTTTGAGAGATCCCCTTGGCAGCTGGAGGGTCCCAGGGCTGGGAGTTTGGGCAGCTGGGACTGGGCAGAAATTCACTTTCGTTTACAGGCTGAGCAGGAGACTCAAAAACTGCTCTGGGAGGGAACTTGCAGCTTGGTTTGTACTGAGCAGGCTCAGTAGCTCCTACTGAAGCCGCTGCCCTCATCCTGCCCTCACTTGGAGTCAGAGTCTCCTGCCCGCTCTGGGCAGGGAGCAAAGGAGGCAAATTGGAGGGGGAGAATTTGGTCTTTCCAGCCAGCCTTCCCGTAGTGTAGGGCGTGGAAACCTGGCCATGCGGCGGCTGTTAACGCTCTGATAGGAACACGTTTCCAAAGGAGAGCCAGCAATTCTGGTCCCCGGCAGCAGGAATCTTGCTGACATCTTGGACAGCATCTCACAGAACAGCCAGGGCTTGCGTGAAAACCCTCGGTGGCACTGGTGGCCCGTGAGACCATTTTAGTACCAGCCTACTTGTGGGAACAATGAAGAAACGCCGCTGCTCAGTGCGAGGCAGCAGTGTCATTGCACCGCACAACGATGAAATTCTTTGGCCAATTCGCTGCATGCTGGAGCGTTTTTCCTGCAACGTGTGTGGCTAACTCGTCTTCCATGCACGTGCGAGACAGTAGCTCCTTCACTGTGACATTGGAGACGTTGGTGGAGCCCATGACTTTGTATTGGACAGGGGCAATACCATGGACTCGCCTCTTTCTGGTAATATTTTCAATCGTGTGTCAGACGTGAGGTGGACTTCATCGAAGGTCCAGTGTTTTCTCTGTAGCCTCATCACAAAGCGTTCAGCCAAATCTCCAGCAGTTTCTGGTTTGTCAAGAGCTCGTACTAGAGCAAGCATTGCCAATAGCATGCAGAGTGCCACTGGGGAGTCATTCAAGTTTTGTTATGAAACTAAGACCACACCGGACTCAGTCCCATCTTCTGTAAGCCGTTGTGGTCTCGAACGGGACGTACACCATCAAACACACCCAGTGACAGCCTCCCGGGTGACGGAAGGTGCAGGATAGTCCTGGTTTCCTCCACTGTTTGGGGAACAACCATGCCCCTACCTGTCATCATTGTCATTGGAACCCAGACACCTCCGTTACCCGGAGATGAACTGCAGCTGTCTCTGATCACGCCAGCAGGCAAGACTATCACACGGTTCCTCGTAAACTGGGAACCACTGAACTGGATTTTAGCTGGACATGACTTGACTCAGCAAGGTCCCCCAGACTGGGTAGTTCCATTAAAGGGCACACATGATGACGAGCTCATGCCAGCAATTTGGTTTAAATTCTATGGGCATATTGACATTTCAGAGGGATTCCATGAGCCCGGATTGTGCAGTATGGAACTGGGCCAACAACAAAAAACAGTTTTAAATTTTAACCTCTGATCACAAACCTCACTCCCCTCCAACATTTAAGAGCCACAATTTCAGGACCCCATGTGTTGAAATTGGATCAATAAGGATATTTAGTTCTTCAACCTCAGACTTCTCTGAAGGAGGTTCATATCCACTTAGAAGGCATGAATCTCTCTCACATAGCACCTGCATGCGCTCCCTTGATTGGAACTAGCCATAAGGATTGGGATGAATGGGTAAGAATGTGGCAAGGGGCCGATCATGTCAA